TTTTTCAATGCCATGCATTTGACGTCACGCCCGTGCTATGATGGCTGGGGCAAACACCATACTTGTCAAAATCTAATGCAAGCTCAAACTCCAGTAGAATCCCTCCTCAATTGATCAGCAGGGAGGAGCAACTCGTGTGATCCGCAGACCCACAAACCTGCCTCGACGCTCGGCTCACGTTACCCAAGTTTCAAGACCGGTTTTCTTTGCATCTCCCATCTAATACTACTAGGAGCAGGCTCCTGGCATTGCTACTAGGAGCAAGGACGCTGCTAGGGGCTCCTGGCCGTACTACTAGGAACAAGAAGCTACTAGTAGCAAAGGGAACACTATTCAACAATTTCACTACCGAAACGACCCTTCTGAAACCAAATGAGCCCTTAGGATTGACCTCGATTTCAACAGCTCACCGAAGCAGATGCTAATGATGTCGTATTTTGTTTCAAGACACCAGGCCAAAGAGCTCCATGGCAAGTTGCTTGCACGTTGCAAGGAGATTGGCCAATGGCGTAGCTGTTCGATCACACTTCAAAGACATGAAATGACGAGTCAACGGACGTAGCTTGAATGTCATGTCGTCCAAAGTAAGTACTGTTCTTCCTCCTTTCCTGTCCCTTTCCTTTAATTGTTTTTGTCAAAATTTAAAGAGATGCCTCTATGCTTCATCCATTCAGGCTTCATGGATTTTAAGAAGTGTTACGTGGAGTTTTCATTGTGTTTGTACCATTTGGGTGTGAAACCATGTGAAACCGAGTGAAACCTTGAAGGAGATTGGTTGTGCGGTTCCGCCTCCAAAGCCGCCCAAGGTGCGCAGGGCCGCGATAGAATCTAGGATGACAAAGTAGGGTATCATTACCTTAGCCATATTACTAAAGTACGGGAAATGAAATCCCCAAAATGGGGCTTCTAGTATGGCAAATGGGGCTTTTCGCCTGAACGCACTTCAGGCAGAAGCAAAGCCAAAGAGCAAAAACGAGACGCCAAAGGTCCAAGAGGAAGGCAGGAGTTTTAAGATGCACTTGAATTATGTTTGGGCGAGATGATGTAGACTTGGAGTCCAACTAGTGTATTCCGCTTTTTGCGATGTCGCTGTTTTGCATTCCATTTAAAACTCAGACAACTCATAGTCGCCAGGTGAAGAACCTGCAGATGGAATCTCCTTTGCCCAGGGCATTCTTCAGGAATCTCATGGGGCAAGCAAGTTAAGCTTCCAGGTGAACGTGGGAACACCTTTTTGATAACATCATGAAGGAGGCGGCACAGACGGAATCACTCATAATCTGCTCTTAATTGATGAAGAGATGGATGACTCCGGCTGTAATAGTCTTGTGTATGGGATGTTCCTTTGATACGTTCTGAGTTTGCTATTTGCCACTCCCTTTGGTGGCCTCAGTGTACTTTGTGTGCAGGAGAAGTTTCCTTTGCTCTTCCCAGATGATAAGAAAGAAGAGGCAGCAATGGGTATGTATCCAGTGATTCTGTGGGATTTAGAGAGAAAGGGTCCACCTACCCGAAGACTCGGATGTTGCTTGCAAATCTGATCAAGTGTTGAAACACACTATTGCTGCTGATAAAGAAGACTTTGAATCCGGAATCTGGGCGGTGGTGTTCTATGTTGAGTGTCAAACAGTTGAGTCAGTCACGTTGTGCAATCTACAGTATGTTCTAAGAAGCCCTTGCAAGAATGCTTCCTTTCGAGCTCGGATTGCCCGTTATTGCTCGTTCCGCGAAGGATGACGCAGAGATCATTCCGACGGACCAACGCTGGTGGCTTGTGACTTGTGAGTTCATTATTTTGAATACACCTGGAGCAGATGAGGCATGTCTCAAATGTGAATACGATCAATCTTGTTGGTCCCTTCTGTCAGCATTGAGGGCGTGAAAGACTCTTTGAGAGACACCACTAGTATATCAGTATATCAACTCCAGCGGATGACTTCGAAATGTGATTTGTGCTATTTGCTTTCTCTACTAGTAACAAGTGCATCGCTACTAGTAACAAGTGCCTTACTAGTAGAAACAAGAAGCTTGTAATTCTCTTCCTGCGATTTGAGATATTTCTCGCGAGGCAATCTACCAGGCGCAAGGCTCGTCATGAGGCCTGGACGTGTTGTGTGTTCAGAGTGCTGCGTTTTTTGCCGGTTTCGACCCTATGCCTTATAGGTTGGAGGCCATCGCTAGTAGGTTGGAGTGCTAGTACTCTGTCAATGCTGTGCATGTCACAGTTTGGCTCTCAGCCAGTCTTCAGGATCCTGAAGCAGAGGAGGGGAAGCTGTGCCAGGGCCAAGCATAACATTGTTTCCATTTACAGTAAAGCATAACACAGTATCACTGTACCGCACATAGCCGCATAGCCTGTCTTGAATTTATCACAGTGTCGCCTCAAGTGCTTGATCACTAATCACTTGGCTACTCGAGGAGTGTCAAGAAGAACAGACGATGAAGAAGGTTCGGTGAACGATCTTTGGGCTCATGTGTCATGCATGTCCGCTTCTGTTGGGTTGACGTATTGATGAGGGTAGTGGTGCGTGGCAAATGGGTGAACAATAATGACAAGTTCGACTCATCGTTCCTTTTTGGATCTTCGTTGCACATGTTTGAGGCAATAAACAATGATAGTTTCATATGGTTTCTTTTTAGGGTCTATGCCTATCAACAGCTATTTGTGTTCTACACTTGTGGTACATCCCCCTCGTCAATTGTTGTTTGTCTCATTTCCTTTAATCACCTTTTGACAACACTTCAGTACAGGTACTTTAGTAATGTATTGATGGTCAATATTCAGCAAGCCCAAGACGTTGAAACCGATAGGGGCCAACCCAAAATACACCTGGCATTCTGTTTCTCCAGAGATTTCCTCAGCCTTTGAATCTCGTCCTTGTGCCAGGCATTGTCCAACGTGAAAGATGCATCCTTTGAGGACATCGACCGCTTCCCAGCAGTGTGGCAGCTCATCCACAGAGGAACATTGGAGAATCTGGTGAAGCACATGCCATGGGGGTCTGGAATACGAGCGTTCTCGGAAAAGAACAGGGAACGTACAGGACCAGTCTATCAGTAGCATCACGTACAGCAGTTAGTTGGAATTCGCTTCTTGTGCAAGGGATTTGCTTGACTCCCAACCCAATGAAATTCCTGAGGATCTGGTGACAGCATGGTGCGTCAAGTGAACCAAGCAGCTAGATTCAGGATGAAATATTTTAGTTAGCATCCTAGGAAGTCTAGTTGCTGGAACCAACGTCCAGTACAACCCAACTGTAACCCAACTATTCAGGCTCCACTGTCGAGGTGCAGGAGTCGAGAGAAGTTCTTGTGTGAAGCTCTTGTTGTCTAAACTCACGACTTTACTCGAAGATGTTCCAAAGAAGTGCTGGGAATCAAGGTGGCTACCACCTTCAGACAGTGGTTACAAAAAAGCAAAAAGAAGATCCAGGACCACAGTGAACATCGTTGGCTGAGGGAGTGAGATGTGGGGACGTTGACAAATCTTTACTACAAACAAAAGCGGCACAGATTTCAATTGCTGTGAGTTCTTCGTGGAGCCTAATGGCCACAAGGTGCTGAGAATTTGATACTTCTTCGCTTGGACGAAGTCTGGTCGCAACGGCCAGCCAAGCTGCCACTGTAAACGTAAAGCAGATACCTGTTCTTCCATAATCTCAATAGTTTGTAGGGGAGATGATCCTCTAGACACCCGACTTGCTTGCTCTTGTCACTTGTCTTGTAAATTGACAAGAAGAGGTGTATTCCAAATCGATTTTCTCATTTGCAGGAAGAGGAGGCGGAGACTTACGTCAAGGCAATGCCCGGTCTCGGGTTGTTTTTGTTGCGGTTCTTGGTCAAACTACCCCAGCGCATGAATGTGTCCATACCAGGAGCCCCTAGTAGCGTTCTTGTTCCAATTCTAGATGGAGTATGAGGATGACGTTGGGTGAGCAAGTGTGTAGCCTGGAGGATAGCCTACTAGCCTTTGAGGAAGATCCTGCTGTCTACAGCAGCAGGTGCTCCACGATCTCTTCGCACAAGATGAGAAGGCTTTGGATGAGATGGCCAAGGTGCGGGCTGAGGTGGCCTCATGAAGCGTCCATGGTCCACACTTGACCCGCCACTTTTCAACGAGCTGTTCACGGCGGTTCCTTCCTTTAGTCATTCCATTGAACTGCCAAAAAGAACTAAGAGCTGAAACCTTGCCTGGCAGGTTGAACTTCCAGTTGCACAGGTGTTGCCAATGTATCTCTTGCATGGGAAGCCCACAGTCCTTTGCCCGAGGACGATTACTTCAAAGCTGTTGCGAAGGAGTTTCAGCCTCAAAGCACAGAGGAAATACTTTCTGCAAAGCCATTTGGAAGGAAACAGGATGGAGATCTATATAGACCTCACTTGACTTGAGTGTATGTCGCCACTTTTGCTTGACCCAAAAGGGAGTCTGCCAAGAGGATTGAAAAGAAAATAAGTTGGTTCGTTCGGGGGGGACACACCATGCGTCGATTTCCAATGATTTCCCCTTGTATTGGCAACATTTGTCGAACTTCAACAGCTATGTAAAGCGAAAGTTTTTACGAAAGGGTCCAATCCATGTCTTTGTTTGCCTGCCTGTTTTTTGTCACTCCAAGCAAGGCCCCCACACACCAGCACCCTGAAGCTCTTCCGGGAGTTCTGGGTGAAGAATCGCGACGGCGCGGACACCGAAGAACGACAAAGACGGCAAGGTCGGTGTGACATGCGGTGTGACTGCGACACTGGAAACAGTTGACTCAAAGTGGCCACCGTTGACGTGGAGAATCAATCTGGTTGGAGACTAGGCAAGACTCGATGTACCTAGATGGGAATTTGGACGAGTTCGTTGGGATTTGTTGGGATTAAGGAGTTGATTTACACTTTACGAAGTCGTTTAGCAGACCTGTTTAAGCTCTCTAAGACCGAACAATGGTTTGGAAGGTGGGGAACAACCATGAGCAATGCGCACACCAATCATTGCTTCGGGTGGCACTTCTCAAAATAACGCAAGGAAGCAATATGTTCGCTTTTCGCTGAGGTCCCTGGTGCCCGGTGACAAGGGTCGAGAGGAAAGCCGAGGCGGTGGCGGCAGGGAACTGATTAACTGTAAGAAAAATATTACTATTGGAAGGTAAAGTCACCTATGGTCACCTTCTTTTTCTTATGTCACTCCAGGATTGCTGCCAGGTCGATGCAGCTGTTGGCAGGATCAATGTCAAACTTTATGGACAAACGAATGATTGGAAGACATTTTTGTGATGCCTGTGTTTTGTATCACAGACCTTGAATGTCCTTGAGTGTTGCGCATGCCAGACTCAATGCAATGCTATAGACATCTACAGACATTTTGCAATCCAGATATTTGAAAGTAATTCCTACTATGTTTGTTAAATGTGGTCAGTTAGCCAGCTTGCAAGCCAAAACGGAACCTTTCTTCCTGTGCAGGTTCGAGTCCGGCTCATGCACTTTGTCCCAGTGCCATGGCAACATTTATGGTGTAGAGATGTGTAGAGTTCCTGCCACTTTGGTTTCCACTTATGTGTGCCGTATTAGCAGGGTGTTCCAGCAAAAGATGGGATGTCTTCCAGCAGAACGAAAAAACACACTCCACTTAAAACAAACAAAAGATCAAGAAGTTCCCACAAACTGCGTTTAAAGTTTGTCATTTAAGGAAGCTTGGAGCATCCGAGTTGTTCCGCGAGCTCACAAAGAGGAGAAGCCGACCGAGCGACATGTGGGATACCCACTAGGACACCTGCAAAAAGATGAAGCAAGAGGTCTTCTCAACAAGTTCGACCCTAATCTGGCGAAGCGCAGGCACAGCATGACGGAGCGGAAGCGTGTCAAACGCTGCACTTGGATCACAGTTGTTTGGAAGATGAAGACAGAGAAAGAGTCCTCTTTCAATGATTCAAACCCGAAGGCTTGGTGTCCAAATGATGCGCCACTTGGCTTCGGATGTGGAGGACCTGGTGATTCTCACCACGCCGGATGGAGCCAAGCACTTCGCCGAGGCCTCGAAGCTACCAGAGCTCCCGGTGCTCCACAGCGAGGAGCCACACATGGTGACACAAACTTACATAACTTACTAAATCTTACTAATATGTTGACATATCAAACAAGAACGCTGTCCAAACGACTTCAAGATTCCTTAGGTTTTGGCTTGACGTTGCCTTACTACTTGAAGGCAACTTGAAGGCTCCACAGAACAGAGCGGTGAAGTAAAGCCAAGTAAAGCTGCAGAAGTGTTTTTTTATTTCAACGTTTGGCTAGCCTTGTGTGCTGGTGTCAGGTTACGAGAGTTGTCAGCCACAAGTAACAAAGTTTTGTTGGTCCTTTTGAGATGCACCGCTGATGCACAGAAGATATATACATATATATACATAAAATATGTATGTCATTCTTCCTTGCTCACGTTTGCATATAGGATAAGGAAAGAAAGGCGACAGGAAGAAATAGCTTACAAATTAAACACCCATTTACAAAATACAAACAAAAACAATCAGATTGCAATTTGTTTAGGGAAAAAAGAAGGAAACAAAAGATGAGACGCTGCGCCATCGCAGGAGTTCGCCAAGGAGCGAGAGCGAAAAGCTGCCTGAATCTCAGAACGATCCCGAAATGAGTGGATATAGATGGTGGATGATGGTGGACATGTATGGATCGCAGACTCAAAAAGCAACATGGCACCAATGATGATGAAGGGTGGAAGGTTTGGACTGATGTTTTTACATCGGAGTCGACTCGAGGCAATGAGCAAGCTTGAGAGGGAGCGAGATGAGGCAGAACGCCTGGCAAAGGCCGGTGAAGTCTACTTGAACTATAAGTAGAAGAGTGCCCTGCCGGTGAAGAAGAGTTTGCAAAACCCATTGCATGTGGCACTGGTCTGGCAATGGTCCTAGCAGATATGTTTTTCCTTGCAGAGCCCTACGCAAAAAAACAACCAATCGGACGGGAAACAACCAATTGGTTCCCCACTTGTCATCGTTCCATGTCCAAATCACCAGGCCAAGAGAGCAGAAAAGCTTGCGAAGACCAAGGCAACCCAGCAGTTTTGCGGAAGTTTTTTTGACAGCACTGAATTCATTCCAATTCGTTGTTTGAGGTTCTGAAAACAATGTGTCTAGAATACGTCCTGTGTATACAGTGTAGACTTGCATCTTGGTCGTGGGGGGATTGGACCCAATATTGTGTCTTCCATTGTTTACATATTCAGGTGCCTCAAACTCCACAAGGCTCCAGAGCCTCTAGGGATCACTCATCAGCCAATTTATGCATCCAAAACCATGAATGATGTGTTTGGAGGCCATCACGCTTAGGTAGGAAGCCGGGCAGTGAGAACATTATAGATGCCTATGCAGTACAGGCGAGACTCGTATCCATCGCTACCAGGTCAGAAATGACCTCACACCAACGGTGAAGGAGCTGATGGCTGGCACGGGCCATAGAATCCAGAAGAATCCCTCAGAGTGTTGCTGCTTGGATTTGCTTGGTGATCTCAAATGGTTTCCCGAAAAGCTGAATGAGAGATTCAGCGGATCAATATGGTTTTGCTAGGTCCACTTGGGAATCCCAAAGGCTCCGGACTCCGCTGGCTGGGGTGCAACGTATATGAAAGTGTTTGAGGCCAACTGTCAGTTCTACCCATGTGATCCCATGTGTGCTAGCGGGGAAGATCATCCAAGTCGGTTTCCGAGCTACACAGTTTGGCTCAAAGTACAGACCTCGGTCAAATGAAGAAGGAATCACCAATTAAATTAGTATAGTAGAGGGACTCTTGTGGCGAATCCCTTCGTCGTGGCACCCACCCCCAGCTTTTGATCTTGCTTTGTCTAAGACAAAGAGCCTTGGTGGTGGTACACAGCCCCAGAAAAATCAAGACTCAACAAAACGAAGGAGTTAAGAATTGGCGTTGTTCAGTGAAATTGAAGAGCTTTCATGGATATTAAGATCTGAAATAAAGAAAACTGCCGTTCTCATCGTGACAGCTGAACAATTATAAAAGAACGAGAACGTTAAAAAGCGGGTTCTCAACTGAGAAGAACATCGCAAGAACAGGACAGAGACGAAAACAGAAACACTCTGAGGTGCCGATGCCGAGCAATCCCTCCTGGATGCCGTCTTTCGGCAGCACATCGGCTGCTCCGGGTGTGGACGCATCGCCTCGAGGCTGGGAGTTCAGATGAGCACAGCGGTGTTCGGCGGAAATCTCACACTTTTATTCTATATTTAGCTACTAGAAGAGGTAGCTAGTAGCTCAAGTAGCTACTACTTAGGACGCAGGATAGCTCACGCTTCTTCAAGGAAGCTCCCCCCGGTGCCGTAAAGGCGGCGGGGAAGCTTCCTTGAAGAAGCGCTCGCACTAATGATTTGGTTCCTAGATTTCTAGGGAAACTTAACTATATGAGCTTACGGCCCCGTCAGTTAAGACGAACCAGGTTTAATCAGTTTCTCCCGAAGGGTTTGGGCTCGCAGCTTGCATGTACCCTTGCTCTCAGTGCGGGGTACGGACCGGTGAGGCCGATCAGGTGTGCACCTTCTGTAGGGTGCGAACGAGGTGGTGGACCACCGTTGACTGCCTTCCACTAGGACTACGCGGCTGGGGGATTAGCAATATCCGTATCTGGACTGGGATCGTTCAGGAAGAGATCGACCGGTTCGAGGAGGCGGAGAAGGCTCGAGCAGCGGCGACCGCTACAGCGGCCTCGAAGTCCGCGAGTCCCGTGGTCCGAGGAGGAACTCCTACGAAGGGGAGTAAAGAGCAGGAGGCAGATCGGCCGGACAAAAGCTGGATAGCCCCAAAAAAGGAAGGAGACAAGCCCAACAGCCCTAAAGGAACTCCCGGAGTGGAGGAAGTGGATTCGCCTGGAGAGGAAGGAAAGTACTCCAGTGGATCAAAGCAGCTCAAAGAGGAAAAGACTCCAAAGAAAAGGAGCAGGAGTGCAAGGAAGCGAGACAGGTCGAGGAGCAGAAGATCCCGTCGCAGAAGGAGGAGAAGTTCGTCGAGAAGGTCAAGGCACACAAAGGAGGACAAAGACAAGAAGAGGGAACAGTCCGAGAAAGGGAAGGAGAAAAAGGCAAAGCCATCAGTCAGGCCACCAAGAACACCATCCAGATCTCCACCCGGAGACAGGGGAGGCCCACCTCCTAAGCAACGAACGAAGAGGCGGACCACCAGATCCAGTTGCTCGACCCGCAGGCAGAGCTTGTATTGGACCTATCAAGGCTTGGCATCGTGAACCCCAGTATTGGGGAGTCAACAAAGGACTGAAAAAGAAGGAGGCCCAGTACTACTATAGACGGTAGTAGGGCATCCCGTCAAGGCTTCGATGGCCTTGAGGAGACCAGCGGCAAGGGTTCGTCGAGGTAGAGGAGAAGTGGAAGAACCTCCTAGAGGAAGGGGAGGAAGGGTGCACAGACGTCCTGCTGGTGCTGAGCCAGGGGGCGCAGGTGAAGAGAGGGGTCGCAGAGCTGAAGAAGGAAGACTCTTTGAGGAGGGGCAACCTACACCATGTCAGGCCGTCCCTTTGGAGACGCTTCGAAAGAGGCTCCCGGTGGAGATCAGGGGCCGCTATTGGGGCAGTGCTGCCGAGATCTCAGGACTTGTGAGAGGCGCTCAAGTCCGGGGGAGAGAAGACATAGAGGTCGAGGTGGAGCTTCAGGGTACTACGGCCGAACCCATCTTACGGTGGGCCTCGGGCGCAAGCGACAAGGTGATGAGAGTTGACATGTGCGGGGCCCGCTGCGAGGCAATGTTGGATGCCGAGAACCTCTTGCACGGAGAAGAGATCAAGGTTCGGAAAGGAGAAGATCCAGCATGGGCCATGAATCTGGTCGAAGAAGCCCCGGCCAAAGAAGCAGAGACCACAGAGGGCGTGAAAGGAGGAAGAGAAGCAGAGAAAGAAGAGAAAGGTCGCGGCCGGAGTCCAGCAAAGGAGAAGAAGGAGAAGAAAAGGAAGAAGGGGAGATCCTCAGGCGAGCAAAAGTCTCCCAAAGCAAGAGAGAAGAAGAGAAGCTCAGCCAAGGCCATGGCACGCAAGAGCTTGAAAAGCGTGTTTATGGGCACAGGCATGGATCCAGACCCCAAGGTCAGGAAGAAAGTGGCCGCGAAAGCCGCTCGCAGGGTGAAGAAGAAGAAAAAGAGCTCATCAGGAAGTTCGTCCACCAGCAGTCAAAGTGGATCGACGACCGAGGAGAGCGGAGAGCTTTTCGAAGAGACTCAGAAAGTGAGGAAGATCGGGCGAATAGCTCCGGGTGCCCTCACCACGGCGGGATGCAAAGAGATGGCCAACAACCTGCTGAACTCCACAGGAGGCATGTGGGAGGCTCGCCGGAGCACATCAACGTGCTAGAACTCCGAGCTGTGCTTACTTCGCTGCGTTGGCGTTTCGTGAAGAAGAAGACCCTTCAGAGCAAGTTTGTGCATCTAGTGGATAGCTTGGTATGCCTGCACTCGTTGTCGCGTGGAAGAAGCAGCAGCCGCAAGCTTCGTCGAACTATGAGTCGTGTGAACGCCTTACTCCTCGCCACCGGTTCTCATGCTGTATGGGCGTATGTCCATACAAAGGACAACCCGGCCGATCGGCCGTCGCGGCTTCCCGTGAAGAAGAAATGGTGAACCGAAGTAAACTACATGTTGAAGGCAAGGATAAGGCAACACGACAACAGCGGAGACGGGCCTTGGGGCCACTTCGCAACTTGGCAGTTCAACCAGCCACCAGAGCACGGTACGACAAAGCCCTAAAGAAGTTCAGAACTTACCTTCGAGAAGAGAGCCGACGTTTCCCTGATGATCCTTCCATACTTGATTTCTGGCTTAGCCACTACATCGAAAGCCTGTGGGAGAGTGGAGAGGGGCGTGCCCTAGCCTGTGACACCATAGCATCAATCCAAGACTACAAACCTTCTGTTAAGGGGAGGCTGTCATCCTCCTGGCGGCTGATGAAGACGTGCACATCGACAGAGATACCCAACCGAGCTCCGCCGCTCCCTGTTGAAGCGCTGGACATTTTAGTGGGATATAGCCTTTTCCAGCACGATGATCTGTTTGCCCCTTCACTTCTTCTGGGATTCCATGGTCTGTTGAGAACAGGAGAACTTTTAGGAGTCAAGAAAAGCCACGTCGAACAAAAGGGCCCACGAAGTGTGGCGGTCATCTCCTTGGGAGTGACCAAAGGGGGGTGCAGACAAGGCGCTGCGGAAAGCATAACCATTAGGGAAGAGGACACCCTGAGGCGCCTGTGGCAGTGGAAGAACACCTCATCCTCGAGATCCTCTTTGTGTGAAGCAGCACTCCTTTGGCGGAAGAAATTTGCAGCCTACCTTGAAGCCACTGGCCTCAGTGAGCATTCCTTTCGTCCTTACAGTCTGCGAAGGGGAGGGGCGACCTCCTATTTTGCTAAACATGGATCGCTGGATAAATTGCTCATAGCTGGTAGGTGGCAGGCGGCAAAGACCGCAAGAATTTACATCAACGAAGGACTGGCTGGTTTAGCCGAGTTTCGCTTGGCAAGTAATGCACAAGCACGTGCCTTTCGGAGGCAGTATGAGAGGTCTAAGGCCCTTGAGCTCCAACCCCTTGAGCATGCCCGAATGGGCAGGACGGGGGGAACTGGAAGGAAGCACAAGAAACCCAGGAAATGAACTTAGTTTTTGAATTCGAACACCGCCGGCGGTATAAAAATGCAAAACACAGAAGG